CTTGGGGTGGTGGCTCTGGTGCGTAGTCCTCAGCGAGGGAAGAGGGGAGCCCCGGAGTGAGGCAAGATGAGGCATGTGGCAGTTAGGGAACAGGACGGAGTTGGGAGGAGGCTGTGGGGGGCTGCCTGGAGGTAGCAGGGGGCTGTGGGGCCCCCCCCCGCCAAAGAAAAGCAGCTGGTGAAGCCAGAGACGGGGTGTGCTGGAGGAGCGCGGGGAAGCACGGCAGTGGGTGTCCTCTTCCTCTTCCTGATGTAGAGGAAGGTGGCGCGGAGGTTCCTAGGCAGCAGGGAGGTCTGGATGGAGAGAGCAGGAAGGGCTCTGCAGGGAGCAGGGCAGTGGGGTGGTGGGTGCTGCTGGGGGGGGTCCCACCAGGCCTGTTTGTTGGGGGGCTGCGGTGTTTTACTTAGTGTGTGCTGTAAAGATATCTGTTATAAAGAGAGATGGACTAACCAAAAGCTGTCTTAAAGCAAATTTGGTAGGATGCTCTCCTGAGGTAATCCCTTCTAGCAGCCTTTCCCCATCCAAGTCCATGGGCCTTTCTCATCCAGTGCATCTCCAACTGCCTGAAAGGGTTGTCTTTGGGACAATTCTCCAAACTACGAAAACACCATTATCCCACTTCTTTGTGTGGAATGAACTGAATCTCTGTGGGATAATGAGAGGGTTTCTTTTTTTGTCATCTTTTCAGTATGGTTTAAACATGAGAAAAGCTTCGTGGGTGATAATTGCTAAGACACAGGAGTGGGCAAATACACAAGTGATACGTACACGGTATTTGCACTAACTAACGCAGAAGCATTCGTAGGCTAGGAGCAGTACTTGAACAGGTGTGCTTTAATCACTGAGTCAAAACCTTGCTGCCTACTGGTAAAGACTCAGATTTTCCTGGTAAGTGTAGAAAAGGAACACTGGCTGTTGGAAAGTAACTGATTGTGTTGATCATGACTAGATTTTCTGTTGCTAGTCTAACAAATGTTGTAAGATGTTAAATCTGATTATGAAGTTAACAAGCCCTGCCTTTGTTTATACAGAGTCTTTATTTGTCCTGAGAAATTTGTTGGCACCTTATTAGAATAAAGAATAACTCTTTTTTCTATTTTAACATTTATTTCATTTTTAAAGTCAAGCGATAGCTTAACTGTGAGTTAAAGATGTCTCTCTGATGGAATGATTGATTAGCCTTCACTGTGAATTTGTTTTTGTGACATGATATTTTTCCTTTCGCCTCCTTGATCAGTTTTACTGGTTAGGGTGAAGGCAGGCCTTGATAGTAACAACTTGTATTTACCATCTACCAACATCTAACACGTTGTATTTAAGTATGAGGACAAAACTGTTAATATGCTCCTGCTAAATAAATAGACTGGCTTGAGAAAGTGACTGAGGAGCTGAAGCCTGAATCCCAGGAACACTGGTCACTTATCTGTGTTTAAACACCCTCTCTTATTTCACCCTTGTTTAAACACCGTGCTGGTTACACCAGCAGAGCACATCTGGTAGCAAATGTACTGAACTGTGTTAGGGAGCAGACAACTTTTGTTGTAGACTCAGGTTTAGTTAATTGATAGTCAATGAACTTGTTTAGGATCCAAGTTAGTTTGGTTTCCTCCTGCTGACTGCAGACTGAGTTACTAAATTGGCGGTGTCATGGCATATGCTGCAGAAGAAGTGATTCAAACAGTCTGAGAAACAGCAAACTTTGACATTTGTGCTGTTCCAGCTGCAAAAGAATTTGCTGATCACTATGTTCAGAGTTGTCTGTAAGCAAAAAAAGTCTCCCTTACATAGGAGAGTTGAGAGGAGTAAATCACTTCTTTCTCTCAAGTGTGGCTAGCATAATAATTTGTCCCAGTGGTGTGCTGCTAAAATGTTCAGTAAAATAGTAAGGGCTTATTTCAAAAGCAGAGGAAATTGATTTCACTTTCTGTAATCTACACAGCTGTTCTTGTGTGCCAATAGCCATCTCTGAGAGGAGTTTGGATGGTGTAGAAATGTTCTTGAAATCAAACATTGTGTAAATTCTGTAGACCTAGTTATTTCACAACCGCAGATCTAAAGAGTTCTGCGTGGAAGAGGGAGTGGCAGCTTCCATAAGTCCTTTTCTAGGACGAATAACTGGATGGTGCTCTGCTAATTCCTTATCTTCCTGGGCAGGCAGGGACAGTATCAAGTGGATCACCAGTGCTGCTGTGCTTTGCTTGGTTCTCATCATTTTTTTCTGCATTGGCTTGAAGAGTGATCCAGATATTTTATCAAAATAAACTCACGTGACTTCCATCCTGTCCTCTTTCCAAGAATCCATTAAGTTTGTTTCAGGGCATATTACAATCTTGAACATAGAAATAGTAAAGGGAACCAGTGTGGTGGTGGTGGGTTGTTTTGGTTTTGTTGTGGTGGTTTTGTTTTTCTTAGAAGCTCTTAAACCTCTATCATACTGAGTTTAGCTTTATCAGAATTGGGTCCTTTGTCTTGTCCAGGGTTTGGGGCAGTTATGTTTTGCCCGTACTAACTGTTCCACCTTAACTTCGGTTCAAGTTAGGTACAGGATACGTTACTTCCTGTTCCAGCTCTGCTGTGCTGTATGGCATTATTTCTTGTCAAGCGTAATGACCACATTCTGCTGAAAAGCGAAGTAATTTCCTTTCGTGTTCTTAAGCGTTCTGAGTTTCTTCTCACTTTGATGGTGTGATCATGAAGTATAAATTATTCACTAACACTGAGAATTTGAGAAAAGCAACAGTAGCAAACTCTTGAGGATTCCTGCATCTGAATACACAGACTGTTTATTATAAAATATACAGTCTTCAGTATTAAAAGCTAGAAATATGGCAGTAGCTTTCTGTAATGAATGTTGAGCGTGGGAGTATAAAATTCTGGTATTCTGTGTTGCAGAATGACCCTCTTGTGTCTCCTTAAAGTCTGTGTGGTGTGAATCCCAGACTTTATTAGTAATAACTTTCCATTTAATTCTTCCTAAGTGACAGTGACGCTGTAATTAGCCCATATTGTAATTCCCTGTTTGTTGCTGTTTCATTAGGAGAGTCTGGACTCTTTTTGGGGGGGTAGCGTAGGGTGCAAACACCCAGCTATTTAAAAAATAGTATTTGAGATTTATCTTTCTGGGAAAGCGGGTGGTTTTGCTTTCATTTCACCCAGAACAACATCCAAAGTTACCTAATGCTTTGTCTATACTGGAGATTAATTAGCGTTATCCAAGTCTTTCCAAAGCCATGTTCCAAACAGGCTCTGGCTTAATGATTTGCCTCACTAGTCTGGTCAAGGCAAGTATCAGTGTTTTGGGGCCTTTTGGGGTCTCCTGTGCAAGCTCTACTTGCCATTTATGCCAAATAATACAGATGACAGAAGTATCTTTAAATATGATTTTTACAGTAACTGTGTCCTATCTGCACTGGGTGGACAAACTGTTACCCTTAAAATAGCATTATGCAGGATTTAAAACTGGTTATTGAGTTACACTGTGTAGAAAGCCAGATGGTAAGAGGAATTTCTCTGTCTCTACCTAATCGTTCTGTGAAGTATCTTCATCTGTACAGAATTCCTTCCTTAAGAAGTAAAGGGGGGGAAGAGTTTTCCTGCAATCCTTCCACCTGCCTTAATGAACTGAAACACGCTCTGGAAAGGTGTGGGCTAGGGAGCCCACTCAATTCAGGGAACAACAGTCAGCCAATCTGTGAAATAGTCTGGCACAATGTGAATTTCCTCTGAAATTATTGTTCTATTTCAGCTGCTGCATGTTGCTCGCTGATTATGAAAGTTGATGCGGTCTAGGGGAAATTAAGACTATCTTCTTACTTAATCTGGTCACTTGTGCAGTAACAGTGAATGCTTCTAACCATGTAACCTTGGAGTTGAAATATGACATGTTTTATTGGATCTAATCCCCCAAAAATTTACTTCTTAAGTTTCAAAACTACGGGGTTCTTGGTGAAATGTTGTAGGCTCTGGGAGGTGAAGTGTGTCCAGCTCTTGGAGATCATCTTAAGTGCTCAGAACTGTGCTTTCTCTAATAGTAGCATTGGGAGGATGGACTGCAGGACTCTTTTTTTTCCATCCCATCACACTGAAGGCACTCTGCGGCTTTTACATGATACTTTTTTCCTCATTCAGTCTTTTTTCTCCTATAGGACTATATTTGCCCAAGGTGTGAATCTGGTTTTATTGAAGAACTTCCTGAAGAGCCAAGGTATTGTGCTGCTCCTAAATGCTGTTGCTAGAGCAAGCTAGTCTGCTCTGCTCTGTTTTTTTTCTTTTTCCAGATAAAAGGCAGTGCTGCATACTAAAGACACTATTTTTACTTTTTCTGGCTAATATTTGGCTTAATGTTCTTCACTGTGATTCAGCAGTGCTTAAATGGCACGGTTTGCATCTACAGGTAAATCAGCTATGGGAATGCTGAGTGTCATACTTTGCTGGTAAATGTGGGGAAGAAGAGGTTGATCTTTTAAAAAAAAAAAAAAAGTAGGATAGAGGCTTTCCACAAGGAATGTGGTAGCTGTAGCCATTTGGGGTTATCATGTAGAGGTAACTGCCTGCAAGGAAGAATCTGCAGAACAGAGAGTGTACGTATGCTTCAGCATAGAGTTTGATATCTTAATTTACAGTACTAATGGGGCTACTTTTTGACCAAGCCTTTGGACTCTGCACTGAAGCAGCTGAGATCTATGTTCACATGCTTTCTGCTGACTTAGCAATGGCGCTGCTCTCTGGTACAGTGTCAGAGTGGACAGCAGCAAGAGAAATGTCTTCAGACGTTTCAGACACGTTTGCTGGACCCTGGTTCTGAGTGGCTTTGGGGCTGAGCAGCATGTGGTCAGGCTGGTACAGTCTCAGTGCGGGGGCTTACTAAACTGTGTGGGGTGTCTGTCAGATGCATGGTGCTGCCTACCAACTATTTGTAAAGCTAGGAGAGCAGTAGTCTTTACAGATTTATGTTTCTGTACTGAAAGGCTGATGTTTTGTCTGATTACTAGAGGCCGAAAATCAATCCTAGCTAGTCCTAACTGTACTGGTCATTTGCTCTAACCACGGGAGAATCTCTTAATCTCTGAATCTTAGTTTTTTTGTTGTCCTTAATGTCAGAATATAGACCGGGATACTGAGGGGTAAATGCTCCTACAGCTCTCCAAAAGCAGAAACCTAACAGTATTAAGGGTTTTCCTAATAATCTGTCCCATTTCCTTCTCTGGTTACATGACTTTGCAAGAAAGAAATTCCTTTGATCCAAGATTAGACTTAAGCATGTTTGGGTCATAGTGGTCAGAGTTTGTACCTTAAATCTTCTCTTCCTGGTGTTCCAGAGAATTAGCTGATTTTTTTTTTTTTTTGAGGTGGGTTGTGCAGGGAATCCTTGCTTGACACTGTATTTGAGTCAGTTCTCTGTAGCTTCATGAAATCCGAATCTAACAGGGTGGTAAGAGAAGGATGAAGTTGTAGGAAAATGAGGGTTGCAAGGGGAGGAGGTGAAATGAAAATTGATGTGGACAATTAAAAAATCAGCAGCTGAGGGCAGGCTAGCATCTAGATTGGCTGGAGTTGATCCTGCCACAGGGCAGAAAGGTAGACTGGCAGACTTCTGAGGTCCTTCTAGCCCTGGCTCTGTGCAAAAATGAATCAGTCGCTTCCTTTAAAAGTCTGTGCTATTACTGAGCTGCTATGGTGTCTGCTTTTCATATCAAGATCATATCCCTTGATCCCTGCTGCTAGGAAAGTCTTTTCATAGCGCCCTTCTGAGGCTTACTAACGCTCTGCCTTCTTCTCAGGAACGCTGACAATGAGACCAGCTCCTCCACATCAACCAGCGATCAGAGCAGGCATCCTTTCGAGGTAAGTCCTTTCTATCTCCTCCAATATTTTCTTTGTTGCCATTGAAGTATTTTCTTTCCGTAGTTTGTTTAAACGTTCCCTGGATTTTGACAAAATTTGAAGGAAGAATGTATTAATATCATCCACATACCACTGCTGAGATCTCTGCATGTAGTATAGAGAAACCAGGGAAGCCATAGTGACTATTTCCTAGTTATGTAGTTTCAGTGTATGTTGTCTGTTCATCACTAAGCTACTTCTGTGCGTGTACTGATCATCTGTGTTAACCAAGGTTTGTGAGCTGCTGGGGATCTGAAGAGACTAATCTTTGTTGGAAGGCTGGAGAAATGCCAGTAGTAAAAGCTAAGAGCTGCTTCTCTTCTCATTACAATCTGCTCCTTGAATTCTCTCCCTCCCAGAACGTGGATCAGCACTTATTCACCTTGCCACAGGGCTATGGCCAATTTGCATTTGGGATTTTTGATGACAGCTTTGAGTTTCCTTTCGGGTCCAATGTGCAATCAGAAGACAACAGGGACTCCGAGAACCGGAGGGAGCGAGAGCATCAGTCTCGGCATAGATATGGTGCAAGGCAGCCCCGAGCTCGTCTTGCCACACGGCGTGCCGCTGGCAGGCACGAGGGAGTTCCCACGCTAGAAGGGTGAGAACAACTTCCAAGGCTTTTGTGGGGATCAGAAGACTGATGGTTCCAGGCATGAGTTAGCCTGGAATCAGTCCATCTCTTTTCCTCAAATGTTTGAGGACTAGTCTCTTAAAGGCTGCTCCTAAGCAGAGCTGTCCAGTCTGACTGTCTTTTGTAGATGCCTGGTTTTGTCCCATGTGAACTCTTGCTTCTGGATGGTCAGACTTCGACTAGGACTAGAGCTGTGCTCGAGCTCTTATCTTCAGTTTGTAGGGGCTATTTTACCTGAGCACAACGGTCTAGACTATAGTATGGCTGGGAGATTTTATCCTTAAACCTGTAATGAGAAAGCATTCCCTGATTATCAAGCTGATACTACCAAAATATTGTATTAATTGTGAAAGGAAATAGTAGAGAACACTGGAGAATAAGACTTACATTCTTTAATTGTATCCAAAAGAGGCACTTTGCCATCTTTGTCAGAAATCATCCCCTTCTGGATAAAATATTCATACTTATCTTTAGCGATGAATGATCAGTTTGTGCGATGCAACTGCCTTTGCTACAGGAAATTTAGTTTTGCCTTTTTTTCCCCCGACAACGCAACAGTATTTAGCCACTCCTTCCATGTCAGGATTCTGAGCTGGGAGCTAGCAAACAGTAATTCTTATTTGATCCCGTTTTTGTTGTCTTTCAGAATTATCCAGCAGCTGGTCAATGGAATTATTGCACCTACAACAATACCAAACCTAGGACTAGGTCCTTGGTAAGTTGGAATATGAACTGCTCTTTCTGACAGTGTTCTTGTTGGTACTCCCAGTGGAATTTAATTATTGTCCTTATTCTTAAAGGGGAGTCTTGCATTCAAATCCAATGGACTATGCCTGGGGTGCAAACGGCTTGGATGCAATTATTACACAGGTAAAACTGGCCTTATAACAGAGTCTCCTGTCCTCTTGTGCAGTGCTGCAAAACTGCCAGCACTCAGTGTGATTCAGAGGAGCAAACTACTGAAGGTGTAGAAATGGGAGACAAGGCCCACAGTGTGGGGGATGATGGGCTTGAGTGAATTGGTTCAGTAACTGAACAGATTCAGTGCACTGCTGAGCCCACATCTTCTTTCTGCCTTCTGTGGCATATTGTTTTTTCAGTTACTAAATCAGTTTGAAAACACTGGACCACCGCCAGCAGACAAAGAAAAGATCCAGGCCCTGCCCACCATACAGATCACGCAGGAACACGTAGGTACGTACGTCTCTTCCAGGGAATCTTTCACAAAGAGCTACGTGACACTTCTGTGTAATAGCCTCTTGGGATTTTAATTTTGTCTACTAGTACCTTGAAGGCCCAAAACTTTTCAAAGCGAGGAGAAAGCTTAAGTACTTGCTCCGTTATGCTCGCTCAAAGAAAAGAGAAATGTAGACCAGATGGATTTGCCCTGGGGAGGCAAACTGTCTGTTCTGAAAAGTTTGATGTGGATAAAGATGAAAGAAGCACATGCAGGCTGGCAGGCTGATCAGCTGGACTGCAGTCCTGCGCTGTCTGACAGCTGTCTTCTAGACTTGCTGTAGGCAGGGCGAGAGGATTTGTTAGTAAACTGCCAGCATGCAATCTGCCCAAGGTAAGGCTCCTTGGTTGCCAGTGCTTGGCAGTCCTGCTGCGTGGGCCTGAGGACCAACGAGTTGCTCTTATCTGTTAGTATAATAGACAAATAAAACACTAGATGCTTTGTTACAGGTATGTATATGTATACTTGCATCTATTTCTTAAATATGTTTCTTACAGTAGTTGTCTGAAGAAGGGAAGAACCAATCAAATGCAGGGCGGTTAGAGATGGAGTGCTGGTGGTGGGAACTGCAAAGCAACAAGCTTTCCCGTCTGCAGGGATGAAGCAGAGGGAGGGTCAGCAGCTGCAGGAGCTAGTGGTGGGGAAGGGGTGATGGGATCCTGAGTGTCATTCTTTCCTTTATTACACATCTGTGTTTTGCTTTCTCTTTGTGATACAGATTCTGGGTTAGAGTGTCCTGTATGTAAAGAAGACTATACAGTTGGTGAAAACGTCCGACAGTTACCTTGCAATCATCTATTCCATAATAGCTGCATAGTCCCTTGGCTGGAACAGGTTAGTTTTGTCTGAGCAGGTCACTTGGATTTTGTGGCATTTGGGTATTTTCTAGTGATGCTGTTCTCCTCTGTAAATGTTTTCATACCTCCGTGATGAGGCCTAAGCGTGAGCAGCCTTTGATCAGAGGAAGGAGAGTCATTCTAGCTTGTTATGTGAGTGCTGTTCCAATATCTTGTTTCTAATCCTGTTTCCCATATTTCTTGTTTTGTTTTTGTCTGCTCTTCAAAGCATGACACGTGTCCTGTGTGCCGGAAAAGCTTAAGTGGACAAAACACTGCCACAAACCCCCCAGGACTCACAGGGATGAATTTCTCTTCCTCCTCTTCCTCCTCTTCCTCCAGCTCACCAAGTAACGAAAACTCATCGAACAACTCATGAATCTTAATCCGACCCTCTGTCCCTGGGGCCCTGTCCATTGTCCCTCCTCCCTCCCTAGCCAACGTAAGCAACGAAAGGGGCTTCCAGAGCAGAGCGAGGGGAGGGTGGCAGGGGGGAAACAGAACCCCCAGAATTCCCTTTTGAGTTCTGAAGACACGGAGACTCTGGGCTCTTCAGAGATGAGAAGCCTCAAGTTCTGTGGTGGGGGGGGGAAAGAGCTCTATCTATTAATACATCCATTTGCTGCGTGGACTTTTAAACATTGCAGTGAAAGGCTGCTGCGTTCCACAGATGGGAAACCTGAGGCGCTGAGCTAGCGGTTGCAATTCTGAATGGAAAGGTTGTTTGTATGGTTTTGAATTTGAGATTCCTTTCTTTCTTTCTTTTGCTCCTCCTCCTCCCCTTGGATACTATCTCTTCTGCTTTGGAGATTGAAATCTTTAAAATGAAAACATAATAATACTGCCTCCCTCCCAGGATCTCCAGCTGGGGAGGGCAAATAGTTGTCACTGAAAAAACGAACTCTTGAAATAGACCCCATCATCCTTCCCTTCCCCATCTCAATTCCCATTTATTTTTCTTTATAACCTTGCCCTTCTGATATTCAACACTGAAAGGGTTTTTATAATTTTAAATTATTACTGCTGTTAAATAAATGGACGTTTCAGCTCAACGAGAAGTTATGCATGATTTGTGGAAAACTACAGGGTAAGCTCTCTGGAGACTGCTGTGCTGAGCCGTCCCGTTTCATCCAAGGGCAGGCTGGGCTTGTCAGAGCCCTCCTGGCGTGCTGTGTGCAGGCATGCTGTGACCTCTAGGCACCAGACTCCTCCATGACCAGCAAGCACCCCATACGTGCATTGCCAGCTTGCGGATCGTTGAGTGGTTGGCTGCAGGGTTGCAACTGAAAGCATCCTCGCCTGGTCTTTTGTATTTTTTACAACTTCTCCCTGTTGCAGTCCTGCCCTTCTCACAGCCTGAATGGACTTTTCCAGTGTGTTGACATCAAGACTGGGCGTGCACCAGAGCAAGGACCAGCCAAATATCATTGTGATCAAATAATATACAGGAAAAATGACACTTTGGAGAAAAATGTATTTCAAAGCTACTTAAAATACAACTGATTAAAAAAGGAGAGAGAGAGAGACAAACATCCCAGGTGTGCTTGTGATTCAGTTTCCTTGGGAGAACTGGGGGTTGGAGAATGAAAAGAACATGACCAGAGCGGGGGAGTCTCTCACCTGCTGTGTGTACCCGTGCTCTCTTCGGCTGGGAGATGTGAAGCAGGGATAAAAACGTGGGTTTACTGGGATCTCTCGCCGAGGGGCTTCATTTATTGCTCTAATCAGATTGAAACTCTAGATGCAGCGCTGCCACCTCTCTAAAAGACGCCCTGGATCTTGAACATGGGCAGGGCTGCATGCTGCTGCATGTGATGTCTTCAGAGGAGTGTGGACAGGGAGAGGTGAGTGAGCTTTCTGCTCTGCTGGCTGCCTCTTCCAGCATCAAGAGAGGAAGAAGGTGACTGTGTGCTCAGCAGTCATATATGATACCAGCAGGAGGAGCAAGAAGGCAATGTGTTTCACATGCTTGTGTGTGGCAGCAGGTAAAATGCCTGGGAGCCAAAAAAAGTTTGAGGAAGGAAAAGCAATTTTCTGCCTATCTCAGGAAGTGTTGGTCTGTATTACATTGGGCAGATGTCAGCTGATATCTGTCAGTCAGCCAGGTCTGACAGTGTTTGTGTGAAGGCATTTTATACTCCAGGCTATGCGTCAGGACCTTGCTTGGTATACGCCAGAGGTGGGAGGTCTCTTGGCTTGCTCTTGCACCCCAGTCCAGGTGCTTTGCAGGGCTTTGAACTTCACTCTTGAGTTTGCGCTTGAGAGGTCTGTACTGCAGAGCTGATCTGTATTGGGGCTGGCCTTGCACTCCTCTCCCTGAGTAGGCAGATGCCATCCTTATTAGGATGGATAGCCTGTCCTCCATGCCGCTTTTCTCCTGTCTCTTAGTCCTTACTGCATTCCCTTCAGCAACTCCCAGTCCTGGTCCTGGCCCAACCTCTTACCCTCTCATCATCTGCTGAAATTAGCACTGCAGTAGTTCATGTGGGCTTCACCTCTGAGTCTTCTTCATCACCTTCTGCAGTTTTCTTCATCTGCTGCTTGTTTCCGTGGGAAGTTGCCATCTTCCTCATCTTGCTTTAGGCTCTCTTGTGCTCAGGTAAGGCTGTGTCAGCGCTGCTTGGACCACCTTTGGAAAGACACCTATGGAGCCAGGAGCCTTGTAACAGGCAAGCACAGGACTCTGATGCGAGCAGGTTTAAGCTCACTTAATGAGCTGCCACACAGCTGCTGAGCCACTGCGTGCTCTTAGCCCCTGGCAAATGCTAACTACCATGCATTAGTTTAAAGCTTATTGAAGTTTTCAGTTGATATGCTCTGCCCTGAGTTTGCCCCGGGCTGAGTAACGGTCCATTTGTGCTCTCCAGGGCTTGGCAGCTGCACAATGCAATTTGTCTCTCCTTTGAGTCTGATTGTGTTGGGGGCTGCTCTTCGGGTCTGGGGTCTGGCCCTGCTGACACGGGCACAGGCCAGGCTGCAGGATGAGGTCCTGGCTCTACCCTCCCCGTGCCCTGATGCATCTCACTCTGGGACGAGCACTGAAGGACCTCAGGTCGGGTTTGCCATGGGCAGACCTGGGCTGCGTCAGCTTCAGGCAGATGTTTCCTTCTCCAGCTCCAACCTGCTGCCTTTCCAGCCAGCAGCACTCCGGCTGCTCAGCTTCCTGCTCGGTGCCTGCTCTGCTGTGCCCTGTCGTTCCCCTTGGCAAGCTGCTGCTGCAGGTGACTTTGCACTGGAGCCCTTGTCCCAAGGCCCTGTCCTTGGCTGTCTCTGTCCCTTTGGTGACTCAAATGCAGGAACTTGGACGTGGCCTAGAAGTTACTGAGTGCAGAAGGAAGAAACTTGGGCTGTGTGGAATGAAGGAGGAGCCGATTGCCCTGCGGACACCAGCTGGATGTTGGCAGCCCTGTTGGTGTCATGGGGCTGGGCGAGAGACTGGCAGGTGACTTGGGCAATCTGGCAGCTGTGCACTGCTTTCCAGTGACCCCCGGCAAAGCCACCAGGCTCTGCGGAGCCAGCGGCATCACGAAACCAGCCTGCACTGCTCCTCAGTGGCCTTGGGATGACAAAACCCTTGACCTGCTCCACCTTGAGTTTGTGTTGCCCCGTGTGGGATGGAAAGAGTATTTAAAGCTTCACTGCTCTGGAGGCTCCCCGAGTCCTCCCTGTCTTTTGAACGCTCAGAAGGGGCCCTGTGAGCTGGGCTGAGCGCGGCTGGGGCAGGCGCTGGCCTGCCTTGCTGGGTACGTCAAGGTCCTGGCACCACACAGGGCTTTGGGCTCTTGAAGAGCCTTAGCTCAGAGACCTGGCCCTTCCTCCCAAAAGCTTTCCAGTGAGGGACATGTCCCCATAGGAGGGAAAAGGTGTCTTGTTTGGTGTTTCTTGAACCATTTCAGAATAGAGGAGAAGGTTGTTTGGAGAAGATGTCCCCAACTTTGATTGCAAGGAGCGATTTGCCAAAACCTGTCGGGGCCCACGGCAGCCTGAGCTGGCTGGGCTGAGCGCGGCCGGCCGTCCTGAGCAATTGTCCTGGAATGTTTTTCTCGGGTTGCTCCTGCCAGCTCAACCAGGGCACTTCGATGGCGCCTTTGATCTCGGTGGGCGGATGCTTCCAGGACGAGGGTTTATCTCAGGACTGGTATATCGGGGTTAATAGCTCATCCTGCGCTGGAGGCTGAGCCAGAAACTTCTGCCGCTGTGCTCTGGGCTTGGGAGGCAGGTAATAGCAGGAAGATCCCCACTTGGCCGCTGTGCACCCATCTGCCAGGCTGGGACGGGAGAAGGCTTTGCTGTTTAGTCGCTGAAACACAGACCTCCTCGGCGGGGTTTAGGTGCTTGGCTGTGCCGTCGGGTGTTCCCAGCTCTCCCGAGGCGCCGGGTGTGATCTGTTCAGCTGTGAAACGCGCAAAGCAAATCACGAGCTAGTTTGGTGGCTCCTGCTGCTCCCGTCTAGCCGGGGGCTCCCGGACAGATGGGACGACAGTTAAGGCAGTGGCTGTTCCCTCTTGACACAGACTCGTCTTGGAGCTGGTTTGGTAAGAAATGGAACGAGTCTGGTGGTTTCTGCTCGGGCCATCGCTCATGTCTGACGTGACAAAGTGACCGAGCGGCGATGCCTCTCTGCAGCGGGGTGAGGAGGGCGTTCCAGGAACGTGCCCTGGCTGGGATGCTCAGGTGCCGGTGCTATTTCTGGCTGCGGTCCCCTCCAGGCAAGGTGTCTGCAGTCACTTACCTGTCGCCTTCAGGAGTGCCTGGCTCCCGCTCCACCGCTGTCAGGTTGGAGCTGATTTGGAGGGAGGTGAGGGGCTGGACCAAGCGTTGAACTGCACCGCTGCCGCCGTACGGCATGGCATGGCATGGCACGGCACAGTCATGCGTGCACTTCCACCCAGCCAGGTCCCGGGGACTTGGGGCTTTCCCTGCCTCCATCCTGCTCCCTCCTTGTGCCCCAGCAAAGCCAGTATGGTGTTTCCCGGGTGGGTGCGTCCCCCCCCGAGCAGGGGGACAGGCCGGGCTCCCCACCAGCAGCAGCAGGGCCGATGCCAGTGGCTGCAACAGCAACCCCAGGCGCATCACTCAACGCTGCGATCCTGGAGGAAGGGCTGGTGGCCGCCCGGACCAGCCCAAGCAAGACTCGCTCCCCCTCCAGTACCGTGAACGTGGCTTTAATTTCCACAGGTGCTTGGACACAAGACAAACGCAGCCCTCCAGCCCGTCCCGGCCCCGCAGTCCCTGTCGGCGTCGCCGTGTCCTGGCCCTCGCAGCCA